AGCCATGCTTTCGATGCCCTCTTTGCAATAAATGAAATGCAATAAATGTCTGTATTTATCATACTGCAATGTTTCCTGCTGACTGGGAATTTACTTGTGGTGTTGGGTGGCGCAGTGTGACCCATGAGCATGCAGAGACTGATGCTGTTTAGAGGGGAGGAGTTTTCATTTGATTTCTGAGGCTACAATTAGCCAGTGTTGATAAATGCCTCCCATGCTTTGCTGGATACTACCATAGACATACATATGCTCTGAATGTTTTCACAGGGGAGTCGTTTGACCCCAGGAGTAGTTTATGTCAGCCACCTGCCACTGGGACTGTTTGAGCCTCAGCTCAAATCTTACTTCGGGCAGTTCGGGAAGGTCCTGAGGCTGCGTCTATCCAGGAGCAAGAAGGTAATGCTGAACATGTAGTAACAAACATATGGACACATCAGACAGTGAACAGTCAAGGACATAATGTGGCCCTTGCCCACCCCCTGCAAGAGAATAAAGCAAGAGCAAGGATTTAGATTTTCTCAGTTTGCTATAGGAGATGAATGGAAATGACAGCATAATGTGTCTGATGGTCCATAATTAACTCTGGCTTGAACTGAAAATGGTCTCAGATGTAACAGTGGTCTGAGGTCAGATAATTGAGCCTAAAGTACTCTGGTGCATTAAGCTTATCACCTGCTCTACCTGTTAGCAGAATGATAAAACCCATGTGCCAACAAACACGTGGAGAAAAACTTTTAATGTGAATCTACAGCCCATAAAAGGAAAATAGATTAAAACTCTAAGTTAGGTCAGTGTGAGTGGTCCACAACAGTTTATGTGATAGTTACCTTGTCTTTATCTATTCTTATCTCGTTCTTTTCATTGCAGACCGGCGGAAGTAAAGGCTATGCTTTTGTAGAGTTTGACTGTGATGAAGTAGCCAAGATTGTTGCAGAGACTATGAATAATTACCTCATGGGGGAGAGACTCATCAAATGTGAGTATTGTTGTAAGTCTGCTCATCANACCTGTCCAGGGGAACCTGCCTTCACCCTGACTCAGCTGGAATTGGCTTCCGGCCCCACACGGCCCTAGTGAGGATTAAGAGGTGTATAGATAATGGATGGATGGATTTTTTGGTTTGATCCCCAACAAATATGTGAAGGTTTACTGTCATTGTAAACACTGACACTAACAAATCTATATTTTTTTGGTTGATTTGACCAAGTTTATTCATAATCAGTCTGCTAAGTACAGTATCAAGTTGACGACAAGAGACAGATACATTAACACATGCCACTAAATGCGTGAAATGTAAGTCTAAATGTTTTTTACTAGATTCCTCGTGGCCCTTCCATGGTCACTCCGCCAGGCGCTGCTGCTGACTGAGCCCTCCAGCCTCTAGGCGGCGCTGTGAGACGCGCACCCTCGCTGCTGAGCTCCTCCCTCCGCGGCTCGTTGGTTGTCACCACATGGGCAGCCGGACGGAGAGGAGCAACGTGCGTAGTTTGGAGACGGTTGTCTACGGGGCCGTTCTAATTTCCCAGTTTATGTCAGTAAATAATGGAAATGAGTGAAAATACAGCAGCAGCTGCGTCTCAGCCGGCTAAACAGCTGCTGGCTCTGAACCCCGCACAGGAGTCTGAGTTCAAGAAGAAGGTGCAGGAGGCGAAGAAGAACAAATCGAGCAAGGTGGGTGAAGTTGTGGCCCTGAACGAAACGTGCGAAGATACCGCACGAGTCATGTTTTTGTAAGTAACGAGTAATGTTCTTCTTCGGGGCCAAGTTTGTATTTGTCAAGTATTTAGAAAAAACGAGTCCTGTCCAGTGTAAACGTGTGAACCGTGTACCTGACTGGTGGCTGGTAGAGTTCAAGGTAGCGCCACAAGTTTAGATTATTGTCATGCTCATTAAAATGGCGGTTCAAAGTGGCTACACCAGATAGAGCCAATTCGGACTGTTAGTAGTCAAACT